GGCTAAGACTTTACATGCATCATACTGTACATTGACCACTGACTCTGAACTTGCCAGGGATTTTTAGTCCTTATAAGTTTCCTTTATTAAACCAGGCACAATTCATTGAGTTCCCAGATCTCTTTTGCAAGGGAGGCTTGTGCCTGAAGACATAAATGTTTTTGGTCCATGGGAGGAAACCAGAGTACCCGGAGAAAACCCATGCAAACACTAGGAAAACATACAGAAAGACCTCTGGTACAAACTGGGAATTGAACCCAGAACCTTCTTGCCATGAGGCAACTCTGCTAGCCAGTAATCATTGTGCAGCTAAACAGATTAAAAACAGTTTAAACCAACACTAACTCTCTGTAATTTTGTGTTTGTATTGTACGCCACAGACAAGTGTAACAACCTTGAAAAAATATCTACAGCTAAAGTGAAATGTTGAGTTTGAGATTCTTGTTAAAGTGGCATTGTGCATTGCTTTATTTTTGATGTTCAAATTACACTAAAATAATCAATATCCACAGGTCTGATGAGTCTGAGTCATAAAACTCAGCTTTGAGCTTTCTTTATTCTACATGGAAAGCCTGACTGAGGTGCACCATTTAGATTGTTTTAAAACCAAACAACTATCAGCTTTTTGTCTTGCAGAGGACATGTGGGAGGAAAACAAAAATGTGAATGGAAGTGGTCATGTAGTTTTTAGGTGAAGAACACAAAACAAACAATAGGTTTTAAAAGGTATTACTATGCGCATGTCCTTGCAGTACAGCTTGGTGAACCAGGTGTTGTATGCAATCGATGCCACGATCACTGCCAGGTCCCTGCAAGAAACACACAAATATATCAAATACAAATTTCAAGACTTTAAATTAGCAAACACCATCTGCTCAGGAACGTTTCATGTCATAGATCTATAAATTTACATCATCTTGGGCCAAACGTTTTTACTTTGCTCTCTGTTTTAGTAAAAAGCAGTTTATCATTTTGTAACAGGGAGAACACCACAGGCAGGGCTGCTTTCCAAAAGATGACTGATGCTGCAGCTCTGCTGTGGAGGAGGACAGAAGGAGTGGGGAATAAAAAGAAAGATGTGGGAGATCGATGGCTGGGTCAGTGGATTATTCAATAAAGCCACACTTTGATTCCCGCTCCAGACCTCATACTCCTGCTCCAGCCAATGCTGTGGACACAGACGGAGCCTACAGATTAGTCTGTTTTGGAGGGAGGAAGAGAAAGAGCTGCAGAATCCTCTGAGGTCCAACTAAATTCACATAGCGTCCATAACGACTTTACATCATCTGACAAAGAAGCAGCAATGTGGAGAGATGGGAGACTCAGAGAAAGAAAACCTGAAGATAGAAATGAAGTAAGAGAAAGCGGAAGAATAACAGAAATGAAGAAAGGGAGTAAATCTAGCTAGCAAGGGTCCTGTTGCCAAAAACCACAGGATTCAGGACATTACAGCTGATCTCTGTGGAGTAAAATGACTGCAGGCTGTGTTTCTTTTTTCCATCCTAAAACCAGCCGTCAGACCCGTCTGTGACTGACGCAGCTGAGTCTGTGTGACCAGATGATGCACATGTCAGGATTCATCATCAACACTGAGTCATTTTGTGACAGGAGAACATGTAACTGACCTCTCCGCTGTCGCACTCAGTCACAGAGTGTAATACGGCGTATGTCAGCCTGTACAGTACATTCTGACAAAACAGCATTTACAGGAAAGTCTTAGGGTGAAAATGTTGGCTTCTGCAGTGGAATAATGATCCTTAATACACCTGAAAACCACTATGCCATGTTAGGAGGTGTAAGCTAAAGGTTTCTCAATGACCCTCAGATAGGCTGAGGCTGAGAAGTGGACAATATGCCAAACAGCTCATAAGCTTTCTGCAGGATGTAATGAGCACAAATTCTCCATAATAAGCAATAAATACAATTTGCTGGCTGGTGTTGCATACAATGATCCCAAAGGGTTTTTTTTTTTCATCCAAAATTCTGTGCCCATTTAATATTGTTTAGCTTTTGGTTTCACCAGAAGTTTTTACTAGGGTGTTAAAACATGCACGCAAGTGTGTTGAAAAAATCCACACAAAAATCTTTGAATGTTATTTCACTCCTATCTGCATTTACATGGTCAAACAGTCACATTCTATCTCGTGCAATTTACAGCATTGGAGTAATATCTAATATTGTGTGGAAGAAAATTGTCTGCTTGGCTGCAGAGTATGGTGTTAGCATTTTTATTTCAAAGCTTCAACCAAAATTCAATTTCTAGCTTTGTAAAGATAATAATAAAACTCATTAAAGGGATGTTTGTGTCTAATAAAAACTGTGAAGTTCTGCCAACTTACAGCTTCAAATTACATCCCTGAAAGTTCCATCTTTGACTCCAAAACACAATTTTACAAAAATAAATATATATCTTTTTTTCCCCTCAAAATGTCACAGTGCTTGCTTACCCAACAAAACATGGGTTACAATAAAAACTGGATGAAATAAATGAAAATAAAAAATAGAACAACTGTGTCCTTTAATCCTATAAGTAATACTGTGAGAAGTAATCTTGAAAGTTTCTTTAAACTGAGTCATGCCAGATTTATTTTTCTCTGTATGCTAAGATTTGATTAGCAAAAGCTAGCTGTAGCTTTTTATTTATCACACAATATCAAAAGGCGAAACGTGGGCAATTAGTTTTGAAAAAACTTTCAAAAAGTAATTATTGAATGCAACTTTTTTTGAGTGCGGATCTGACCTACACCTGCCTTCTCAACATGAGGTGAGTTTTATTTAAAAACTGGGCATTAAGGGCTGTGGGTTGAGTGCTTTATTTCAAAGAATGCAAGGCTTAATACTCAGATTAAAATGAGAGCAACAACTTCTTCTTGAAGCTCAAATTGAAATCACTGCACCTATTTCGAATGAGTGGAACTTTAAAGATAGTAAAAACTTTCTCTACTTGTGCACTTATTTATTTTGTTAAAACCTAAAACACACATAGGATAATTAGTTACAAAAATAATGGGCCTTTCAAAACAAAGTTTACTGTGGCCTTGAACTCTCAAGCCACCCATAATAGATTAATCTAACTATATCTGAGAATTTTGGAGAACAGATAAGGCTCATTGAAATGAAAAACTCCAGGAATATTTTATTAATTACAGCAGGGTGAACATTAAGCACATTTTTTTAAAGAAAAAAATAAATCTTTCTGATTAAAGACAAAATTGTCAGCTGGTGTTAGAATGGCAAGCTCGCAAACTTGTTTGAATACATACGGATGTGCTTCAAAATTGCAGTAAATTAATGCAACAGCCTGAATATAAAACATAACACAGATCCTGCAGCGGTGACAGAACAGGCAGATGGTTGCACAGTGTTGTGCTGTTAAAGCCCTGTTTCAGAACCGGAACAAGTAAACCATCACAGCGGGGAAACAGCTGGATCCTGCATCTATAAAMTCTTTATTAGTTTGCATGCATACAGTATATACAGTGCTGAGTTAGAGCACTGACTGACAAGCCAAAATTAAGTCACTGAGGCTTAAACAAAGCTTAAAACAAGAACAAACACAGAACATAAAAAATGTCTGCAAGCAACCTAAATGCAAAAAAAAAGTTTTTCTTGGCAACACAATTGTAGGGGTCACCTCGAGTGAAGAAACAAGATTTACTGCCTCGAAGCAGGCCTCGCACAGGTCTGATGAGAGGACAGGAACTCTKTCACAAACTGAACTCTATTTAGGCCATTCTAACCGTGGAAGAGAACCCCTCAGTTCTCTTAATCAGATAATGGACAGAACAATCTCTTCTGTTCRTGATTCATTTGTTGTTTAACTAAGAATGTTTATGCATTTGTTAAACACAGTAATATAATTGTGGATTTTTCCTGAGGAAATATGTCATTTATCTGGACTAACAGAATGGTTCAGAACTGATTATAAAACAGAAATGTTAATTAATCATCATAAATGTTTTGCAGTGATTTCTCTTAGAGTCTATCAGAAGAAAGCTGAAAAGAGGTTATCATATCATGTTGTTGAACAACCACAGAATTTTAACCTWKGGCTGGCACTGGCTGGCAAATCTTTATCTTTCTTTCTCTGACTCATCTCTAAGCCTGAGGGCGGAAMCAAAGTTCGTCCGTTTCTTTTACTAACCCGGACGGCTTTGAGCAACACTCTCTTCTTCCTGATTCCAACCTGGGAAGACAGCTGGGATTCTCTTTTGAGAAACCTCAGTTTTGGCTTAAAGTTGGATCCCATGAGCTAATTAGGGAAGACTTCACAGCCAGGGACCCAGCACGCCTGCCGGTGGTCTCAACCCGAGGCCGAGCCTCTAAGTGTGTTTTTAACTCCTGAGGGGAGATTTTATTTTGGAAGGAGGAACCGTATACAGCTTGAATTTTTCTGGCTTGGACCGAAACAGACGAAAGTTACCAGGAAAACACCTGTTCGCCAATGACCGGTAAACGAGCCGACATCAGTTCCCTGACTGATCGGAGGCGAGCCAGTTCCTACCCCGAGGGTGCCACAAGAAGTCATCACCAGGTAAAGCTGATGTGTTTGGAGTGACATGTCATGTGGAACCTGAGCTTAGAAAAGACGTGCAGTTTCTGGTTGACCCACACTTTGATAAAAGTAAAAGTCGTAGTAACATACTAATCTTACTTTCCTCCTTTCCTTGTTCTTAATTTGCTAAAACTTAAGCTAAAATTGCCAGTAAAATTGTTTGGTTGTTAACATCAGAACTGACGTTTTACTGTTCTATATAAGTAAACTGAGTTGATGTGAATTGAAATTCGGACGCGGGTTTCATCTCATTTAACTCTGAYGCTTGTTATAGGAATAACCACAATCAAGTGTAACTTATGAGCTGTTCAATTTGTGTAAACAAATGATTGCATAGTCTTTTATGAATCAACTTGAACTCGTCTGAACGTTCACTTATTGTGTCACTTTTCACTTYGCACAGTCAAGATATTAACAAGTAATGAGAAATACCTTGGTAAAAGTTTCCTCATAACCTTATGTATGAGAGATGTGGGAAAAGCTAAATTCACCTWAAGCTCACTCTTACAAAATGTCAACCTGTAATGATCAAAAAKAACTAACAATAATGGATGAAGTTTGCTAATGACTGTGTTAAGGAAAAGCAAAAGGCACGTCTGGATGGACGGTCTGCAGAAAATGGTTGTAGATGAGGTCGATCAGGAGGGATGGAAGAGAAGAAAATGTCACAAAGCAGGACAAGGGTAGAGTAATGTACCAAAAATAGCTTCAAGGATTTTTACTTGTCATTCGCTTCACATAAACATCAAAAGTTCATGGGATGGAACAAAGCCAGTTACCCAGGTTCCAGAAGAAAAAAAAACAATATATATGAAATCACTTACTTTGTTTTCATGGGACACACCACATTAATGACTGCATTTTGTTTTGTATTTTTAAATGTGCTACTTTTTGTTGTTGAAAATAATGAGTACCTGTYCCAAAGTGAGAACTCAAAATACTAAAATGTTGAAAGTAACCACATCACACTGTATGATGCAGTTTTTTTAGAGACCAGACCGCATGACCTTCTATTTGCCACAGAAGAAAAAGTTCTGAMAGAGATTTTAGTCCTGCAATCAAAGAAAATTGGGCACTGACGTTGACGGTCTAATTATTAAATTATAAAATAAGATTTTAAGAGGAGATGGGGTGGGGAGAGCTGTTGATGTGTATAGTAGCAGTCACACGGCACCAAAATGTCTGACACTGCTTGATATTTGTCAAAGATTGTCTTTGGTCGTGAGAGTGCTGAATTTGCTGTCTGTGAGTTTG